ACAGCTCTCAATCAGCAATGTCCCGGGCCAAGTCACAAAAGTTACAGAATGTGACCAACAAGCCAATAATCACAATCCAGCTTCTTATCTGTTACCCTCTACAAGATACGACCCAATCAATCCAGCAGCTCCTATCATGTTTTTACAGAACCATTGTCTTCTTTGCAGCTGTAAGGGCGGCTCCTGACACAGGATTGCACACACACACATGCACACTCCCGCTCGATAATTTCTGAATTTGCTGAGTTTAATATTCAGGTGAATAGTTTGCTCTGTGGAGATGAGATGAGTGATAAAATATTTGCTTTACCTCGGAAACCATAATATCTTTTAAGCTGTTGAATCTTGAAAACCTAGATCAAATTTGACCAGCTTAAGTGTGTTATGTGCACACATCGTCTGCCAATGTAGCAGCAATCTAAACCATCTCTCCCGTTTCATAAGGAGCACCTGTGTTTGGAGACTTAACATTCCACATACTTATTTGACCAAAAAAAGACCTTTGTGCATAGCACACATGTACTGAATAAACTGTACTGGACCATGAAGGTACACACTCGCCAGAGGGGTTATAATAATGTGTCGACTGGCTACTGATGTGCACCTTCTCCTAAAAGCAGTTCAGCTGCGTTTAAGAAATGTTTACTGAAAATGCACGACAGAACAAATGAACTGTTTCCTGTGATTTTCTGTATCATGTAATCATCACCTGTAGTTGTGGTGTGCTGGAAAATGTGGCTTTCCACTCACTGTTGCAATTTTTCTGCATAGTTTGCTTGTTGTGACAACTGCCAGCTGTAAACGACAAGCCTCAGGCACCGAGCACTGCTGAAAACAGAACTCTAGACTCTCCCCCCTCCCCTCCCTCTTTCCCTGTTCTCCTCTGCTCAGACACACACACACACACACACACATATATACATATACATGCACACATACTCCAGCCACTGTTAAACTTGTAAGGGGGACCGAAACAAACATCCGCTCCCCCTGAAAACTTGTCTGGATTCATTTGTCTGTACTCCCGAGAACATAAAGTTAAAGCATGAATCCGTCCCCGGCTGTTGACTTGCATGTGACCGCCCTGCCTGCTCACTCTTAGTCCAGAGCCCTCAGTGTAACCAATCAATGGGTGGACTGTTGACCTCTCCCCTGGGTCGTAACTCGAGCTCATAAGGCCACGATAAAGCTAGCAGGGGTACGTTAGCAAGGTGGTGTCCTCTGAGGAGTGATAGTCTCAAAATGGAAGGTTTGAATGGATGAGCAGGAGGAGGGCTCGGCTCCGCTGAAAGCCACAAGGGCCCACATTGGTCACATTAATCACAGTCGGGATTGTGGCTCTATTTATAGCCAGGAGTTATCCATCTATTTGCCTAATTGTCCCTGCCTGTCCACTGTCCTGGCCCTCCCTGTAAAAAGGCCCCTAAAGGAAAAGGAAAAAGAAAAAGAAGCTGAATCTGGATTACTTCTGTCTGTGTTTTCCTCTCTTTCACTCTCACTCTGTCTGTACTTTCCTACACACACACAGGCACAGGTGTTCATCACTAATTATACCAGGATATTATTAGTCCCAGCCCTGAGTGGGAGTGTAGGGGATCTAAGTTTGCATAGTGTTCAGTCCCCATTGGGTTGTTTTTAAAGCCTGCAGAACAAGGCCCCTCTGTGGTGCTGCTCATGTCAAAGTGTTTAAACTAGCAAGAAAGACCCTTTTCTCCCCCTGGTTTGAGGGATTTTTTTCACAGCCTGAGACTTTTTTTCACTCACATTATTGCCGCTGTAAAGCACACCAACACAATGCTCTCCCACTTTGTCTCTCGCTTTTTCACAAACACACACAGGGACGGGCGCGCACACACCCCTCTCAATCATCTGCACACAAACACACAAATGCAGACGTGCATGCCCCCCGCCCTCCCTCTTATCCACAGTGTATATAAAAGCTGTATCGAATTGCACCTTGAGCTTAATTGGCTCGGCAGTACAGTGCGCTGCTGTCGACAGTGACAAATCGTTCTTTCAGAGCCCCAAAGAATGTCAGCCCACTGCCATGTCAGAGGACACAGGAGGAGAAAAAAGTTAATTGTCCCCTGGCCGCCATTCAAACGATGTCGTAACTGCAAAGAAATTCGTAGGAGATGCAGTTTGGGGCTTTGGAGGTTTATTTATTTGCCTCCTTCCTCTGTTTAACATGGTGCCTGGCAGCTGTGGGCACCAGGGACCCGGGAGAAAGGGCCCCGTTCTCTGTGTTTCTACTCAAGGAGACCAGGCCGAACCGCTAGTTGGACCCCTGGCTGCTCCCTCTGATCACACAGTGGCTCAGATCAGCCACTTCCTCCCACTGGATCACTCCCACTAGGGAGGACAGTACACAGATCAGACGAGACAGCTAATTGAATTTGGAGCTATCTGTTATTTTAGGAGCCCAGATGTGACTGTGTGTGTGTGTGTGTGTGTGTGTGTGCACGCACGCATGTGCGTGTGTGCGAGAGAGAAAGTAAGTGTATATGTGTACAGCCCCCGAGACGATGTGAAAGAGAAGTATGTCAGAAATGCACCAGTGTGTGTTCATGTGTGTGCGTCTGGAGAGGTGTTCTGCATCTGGCCTGACAGGGGACAGCTCAGCTCATAGTTGGCGTTCCTAACCACAGAGCTGCTTTATTACTGATATCCTCCTGCCCTCCCTCATAACTCAGCCTTCTTATTTCAGTCTCCCTCACAGCTTTGTGTCAGACAAAGCAGGATAGAATATGACACACACACACACACACACACACACATGGAGGAATAGCTCTGCTCAGCGTCAGTAGGAGAACAGCTGTGGATGCAGAGCAGTAAGACAAGTAAGTAAGAGCAGAGCAGCAGGTGACCATGAAATCACTGCAGCGAACAGAGCAGATGGAGAAGCAGGAGTAAAGCAGAATTCACATGGAAAACTAAAGAGCTGTTCGCTTTTCAAAACTTTCATTCATCCAACTATGGCTTTCTGGGCCCTTATTCAACAAAACCTCTGCCTCATATCCATATAATAAAACACACAGACACCTGGGAGTTTCCCAGGCTAACCACAGTCTACTGCTAACTAAACAGCCCCATTGGAACAAATGAGTTAAGTGCCTTGCTTGAGGGCACCTATACAGTAGTTGTGGGGAGGGAGAGGTGAAAGTTAAGGCTGATCGCCTGGTGGCAGTGGACGGTATCATCAGTGGTATACAGAGCAAAAGCCCACACCGATGTAATTCGCTCCACACTGTCCCTGAAGTCATTTGACTATTTTCACAAAGTGCCGGAGAACCTCACCGCAGACACGCAATTCCGTGTATGATTAACAACACAGTGAAAACAAGTGTTATCAACAAGTAAATATAGCTGCATGTGGGAGGGATTGAATTAATGTCTCCTGACAGTGCTGCCGCAGGACGCGTCTCTGCGTATGGTAAGAGAATTTTAGTCATGTGTGAGGGTTAGATTCACTCGACAGTCTAGACTCAGAGGTTTAACCCTTTTATCAGATCCAAGGGATATATTTTGTACTCAGAAAGCTACGAGTTTAGTTTTATTTTCTACATAGATACAATGTTTGACTTTCATCCATTTGTCTACTGATTCTACATGAGGATTCATTTTGTTTTTACGTGTATAAAGTCCAAGAAGCTAGCTCGTTTTATGAAAACTTGAAGAAATACAGAGGCCAAGTACTTAATCAGTTTCACATGCAGTACTGTACTATACTAAGTTTCTCTTCAAGATAAAAAAAAAATCACCTTTAGAAGAACAAAGGAGAAAAGGTTTATTACAACTGGAGTAGTTCAATATTTTGGAAAAACAGTTTTTAATTTTCTATCCTTATGTTATATGAGAACATTGATACCACTCTTGTGTCTGGTCAGCTAATTAGCCTAGCTTAGCATGATAGAAACATGCTAGCCTAACTCTGTCAAAAGTTCTAAAATATGCCCACCATCACCTAATAATCTCACAAATGAGCTCATTATATGTCATTTGTTTAATCCATACACAAACCAAAATGTAAAACATCAACAATTTCTATGATGTTCACCAAGCAATAGTTGCAGCACATAACTTTCTATAAACCAACATATTGATATTTTTATATTACTTTAGCAGACCAATGAAAGAAACAAGCTAAAACATGTTAATTTACTTCAAAGGTGCTGGTGGGTGTGTTTTTGAACCCTGGAGGGAGCTAGGCTATTTCCCACTGCTTCCAGTATTTATGCTAAGCTAAGCTAACTGGCTAAGGCTCCGTGATTAATGTACAGGCACAAGAGTGGTATAGTTATATCTGCTTGTCTAACCCTTTCAGTAAGGATACAGTTTATTAAAACGTCTAAGTATTCCTTAAAGATGCACAATGGTATACAACTTCAAATGCTCGTCCTCAGGGCAAAGATAAGTTAGCTGGTCATATTTTGTATGTAGTATCTCCAGGCAAAAGACTACAAATCCACCCCCACCCCCATGCCTAAAACAAAGCCAGTGATCTGTAAAACTAAAACAAATTTCCCTCTTTATTTTTTTTTTAAAACAATGAAGTTATATTCTGAAGACAGATGACATACATCGATCAGACATTTTGGTTGTTACAGATTTTGAGACATGACCTCACACAGTTTCTGTGGTTTTTATTTTTATTTTTGTGCTTTCAGCATCTCACCACTTAAATAGACATTTCAACACTCAGTTTAAATATATGTGTGTGTGGTTTAGCATGTGTCTGCAACAATAACATGCGACATCTGGTTACATGTTGAGCTTGGATTTCTCATTCACCCAATGTAACATTGTTTTTACAGCTGTGTAAGACATCATGCAAAAGGAGGACAGACATACCACACGTGTTTTTCAGCTTTTGCGACAGTGTTTGTTCTAATTGTCTCCATCCTTCTTCCTGCTTCTCTCATATTTTTCATTCTTTGCCTCCTCCCACTATCTCCTGTCCATCTCCTCCGTCTCCATCTCTGTCTCCGTCTTCCTCTCAGACCTTGCTGATAACCTGGCAATGGACGACTTCACCTTCCAGGAGCAGCTGCTGACCCCTCGGTTGGCTACAGCCGGTGTCGGAGGCGTCTCCTCACCTGCGGCTCCACTCTGGAGGAGCTATCTGGTCCCGACGCTCCCTATGACGCTTGCTCTGATCCTGATTTGTCACCACTGACCAGTGAACTCACGCTCTCACTCTCCCATCACCTCTTTACCTTAGGATTCAATACAAACTCTGTGGAAAAAACGTTCTGGTTCCTGATGTAAAGTGCAGTGGGTCATCAAAGGAAGCATGAGCAACAGAAAATGCTACATTTCTCGTTATCTGTCTCAAAAAGAACTTGTTTTGTTTTATTAAAAATCACTGGATGTTCTCAACAAACCTATTAAAGCACACCAGATAAACCCATTGTGTAAATAAGAAACCTGCCCTCTGGTCTACTCCCACTATGGTTGTTACAACTTTTGTGCTCTTGCCTCACCTCCACTTTGCTCTCATACTGATCCCCATCTTTAGTCAGCTTTGTCATAGCCTTACAAGTGCGGAGCCACTTGGAAAACAGACACACAAATGACCCTTTTAAAATGTTTCCACACCAGTCTGCAACAAGTTACTGCCCTGCAGGAACAAGCTGGAGGAAGAGGAACGCTGTCAGGAACAGACCTCAGCTGGTTGCTGGTTTTAGCGAACACCTTATACCAGAAGGCTGAGGTGAAACCTACATTTAAAGATGCACTGTACCTTCAAATGCTCTGTTGCCACTTAAATCCCCTTCTTCCTCTCTCATTGTTTGTGTCCTAGTGATAGCTATGTTATTTCAGACTGATCCCCTCAGCTGTCAGTGTTTGCTTTATTATGTAACGCTGATGATTTTCTAAACAGTAACAGCCCTATGATCAATCAAAGACTCAAGGGCTATCAACAGAGTCTCCAAATCAGCCTGATAACTGTACAGATGTATGTGTCTCTGTGTTGGTGCCATGTTTACAAAAATATGTTGATTTACAATATTGACATATTTCACAAGAAATGTGGTTTGTGGACTGAATTATTGGCTGGACTGTGAAGCATTGCTGCATTTCTAGCTTATTCTTTAGCACTGTGGGTAAAGCGAGGAGTAATGTGAAATATAAATATGTGTAAAAAATATGTGTAAATTGATTTGTTATGTTGGATTGCACTGGGCTCATACATTCTAAAATTCTTACCTTTGTATTGAATTATTTGTCTTTGGATGTTTTATTTAAACCAGAAGTCAGATTTTTTTAATTGTTTGTTTAATTTTGTTTGATTTTAAAAAAGGAAATGTGGTGAAAACTGGATTCCAGCTCCCTTGTTGTTGAGAATGGGGGACATGTGATGGATGTGTGGAAAGACACTAATTAAAAGCTGGAAATGTGTCTGCTGCTGCCACCCAGCTGACTTCACAGCTGTGAGTGTTGACTGTACTCACTCCAGACTATTTGACTTGTCATATCAGGTGAAGCACAGCCGTAACTAATAACAGTAACAATGGCTCTGTTCCATGTATGTATGCCAGCAAGTCATGTCCGTGGTCCAGCATGCAGAGCACCGGGGTCCTGACACTGGAACACATAAACAGAATGCAGCCCTAATTAATGTTATTAGTTAGAGAGAGGTCTGTTGTGACCTGTCATCCAGGCCGATGGCAGAGCCAGGAATGGAGGTCGATACAAACAAAGCAGCATGTGAGATGAAGTTGAATGTTGATGGAGAAGGTATAGTGTAAAATAAACTAAACATGTTTTACTGTTCTGTGGTGATGTGTCTATATGTGTGGATATTAACAAAATTAGAGTTGGTTGTTTTAGTTGTTTTGAAAGACATGAGTTTATTTTTTATTCAGTGTTTTTCCCATGAGATCGAGTCTTTGGTCGAGAGTGTATTTAACCAAGTCATAACATTTCAAACATATCTTTGACTTATATCAACTGCATCCTGCAGGACAGATCCAAGCTGTAACCCCATCCAACAACCCCACCCCTACCCCCAGCCCCCAACTGTTGTCAGACTTTGATTATTGCTGTAACAAAACAGGACCAGTGCAGGCTTCTGATCTGACTCATCATAGGACATCAGGTTTTGGTGTCAGTTCCTCACAATCAAAAGACCAAATACTTCTCCCCTGCAAAGCTTTCAGCAGACAGGGAGTGATTCCATTGTAAACACAATACATGCCAGTTTGTTTACGAACAGCAGCCACAGTAGACCAGATTGAAATGCAGCATGCTTTGGGTAAGGGGCATGACTTTTGCTTTTTCTCCAATAGAAAAACTCTCTTTTATGCTTTCTCTGCTTCTCTCTGCTCTTGCATATAATCCACAGTTGTAGTAATTGGTAAAGGCCAGGTCCTGTGCCACTCCCTGCTTAGATTTTGCTTCACTAGGCTTCACTTCTTAATCTGTTGTCCTATAGTTTTCTCTTTCATTTTTTTCTCTGGAGTCTCTTGTACAAATTCCTTGATACAGGAGAGCAAAATTTTAACACCAACGTTTTAAGCAAGATCAAACAACAATTAGTACATTAAAAGGTCAGAGTTAAACTCCTTTTCAAGTAGAAATCAATGACTGTATACGAAGATGGTCGTCGCGGAAAAATGAAGCTTTATGAGCGCTGCCATCTTGTGCTAGTGATGTAATTTTGAGCCAGAGTCTGCGGGGGAGTGATCAGAGGGTGGAGCCTCAGTATAGTAGAGTTAATCACAGCTGAAGGATAAGTCAACAAGAAATCAGCTAATATGAACACAGGGTCAAGCTAAATGACTTAGGTGAAATGAAACTACAATTTAGTGCAATTAGCGGGCTAGTTTAACACTAGAATATTGATGGAATGAGAAAATACATTGTTTGACTGATGCTTTTAAAAGCTAGCTTTGGCTCTCTTATGCCTCACGTTCTCTGGGGTTGTCCGGCGTCCTTCTGGGAAATGTTTTGAGGTAGGAGTGAACAAGGTAGGCCAAAGAAAACTGGGTAAAACAAGAACAAAAATGAGAGATAAAATAATTTCAGGAGCACCTTGGATGTCGAATATTTAGGTATTCAGGGTGGAGTTGTCCTTTAAGAGCAAGGAAAAATAACAGAGAAAATGAATGGTTTACCACGGAGGTTATGAATAGGACACACAATGTTGCAAGTATATATATGCTACTTCATGTGCTCCTCACCCTCTGATCCACTTCAAAGCCTTTCATGAATCTTATAATTTATGTGTCTCTGGACTGTGCTCGTAGATCTCAGAATCCTCAAAGCAGCATGTGTGTTTTTCTCTGGATCCATATTTCTCACTCCTAGCAGATGATGAACCTCTCTGCCCCTCACTGTGGGGTTTCCCCAAATTGAACTCCATTAATTTTACCCCCAGAGTCACCTTAACCAGGTAACAGACACTCATCCCCAGCCCAACAATGAAATGAGGTTCATTAGTCCTAATTGTTTGTGTTTTGTCTCCATTTTTAAAGCCTGTCTACTTTCTTAACAAGGCCAATCACTCACAGGTCCTCACATAACATGCCTGTCACTGCAAACACACTTCACAAATCCTGTTTCTGTGTCCCAGCGCTCTGCTGTAACTTTTCACACCCACGCACCCTCTGCTCCCCAGATCCAGATAAAAACGCCATTGTTATCCAGCTGTGCTTTTCTCTCCTGAACTGGATTGCAGCTTTTAAGATGGAAAAGAGAGGCTGATTATTAGGAGATGAGCAAACGCTGGCTGCAGAGAGAGCAGCAGCTAACCCAGGATGGGGGGGGGGGTAATACTCTGAATGCTAATGCGAAGCTAGAGAAAGGGCAAACAGGCCTATTGAAATGCAGAGTTCACGTGTTTTCTTAGGGTAATATTGGGGCAATGTTGAAACAGCACGCATTATGGGAGTGAAAGGTCAACTTGATGTTAGTCAGCAGGAACAGTGAGAATAGCTGACTATCAGGAATTGTTGCATTTTCTGCCTGAGTGATTGACTCCCTATGAATATGTATCTCAGCACTATTTCATGGTCACACAAAGATGTTTGGGCTTGGGTACCTTTACAAGCCTGAGGGGTCATCAAACAGTGCATATAAATTAAAATAACAATATAATTCAGGTGCTTGAGTGTGTATGGGCTCCACAGTCCAGTCCAATTTTTACCAAGCTGGATGTTGAAATTCCTCTGCCGGAGAGAAAAGCCTGGGACATGTCACGTCGTTCAAAGCTCATTCATGTCTAATTACCATGGCACTGGACCATTTTCTTACCTTTTGTTGGCCTATTGAGAGCAGCGCCGGGCCCACGCTCTCCCATGCACACAGCTCCAGCATCCTCCTCCTGCTCCTCAGCAAACCCTGGCTTCCCCTGCAGCAGCCGCAGTCACACAGAATGAATGGAGCCGCCTGAGGAATGTGGACACAAAAGGAGGAATGTCATTTTGCTGAGTGCTAACCCCCCGACCACCACCACCTCCCAAGCCCCCCAAACCAATGGACTTGCACACGCGCACACACACACACACACACACACACACACACACACACACACACACACACACACACACACACAAACACTGAAGCACCCCACAAGTCCAGGCATGTTTAAACACAGGGGGTAAAAAGTCTTATTATACCTCTTTTTTTTAAATTAAGGGATTTGTATAGAAGACTGAATGCAACTATTTGTGCAAAATTCAATGTGCCATATTTAAGACTTAATCAGAAAAGATCACTAATCTCTTTTTGATTTAGAAGGATGAAGTGTAAATTGGTGGTTAAAGAGGGGAAAACAGGGGAATAGCTGCAATGTGAGTGTTTACTGTGATTTGAAAGCCTTTTTACATTTCATTGATTTAACCGATTTGTCTTATCAGTGAACACTGAACTTAAATTGATTTTTTTTCCAGTGTTGCAAGAAGCAAAAGGCTGCAACAAGGGCAAGGGTCAGAGGCAAACAGCAACATAAGAGCAGATAAAACAAACTGTGCCTGAGAATAGAAAAAGAAAACCCTGGAACCAAATTGAAAAGAAATATGACTGAGGCGGACCAGAGATATTCTTAGCAAGTTGAGGACAGATGAGGATATGGTGGATATTACAGCAAGTATCTGTTGAACACATGATATTTACGTAAAGTATTTCCAAATGGAGGCACAAAATACACTAAAAATGCAGGACACATATGCAGATCCTCACAAGTACAAACACTTTTAGGATGAAATAATCCATGCAGAGTTCATCAGCTTGTTTTGTGATGAAGGGACTTGATACAGTCTTTCTGTGGATCTCAGTGTTTATCTCTAAGGCGTATGCTGATGCTTTTACACAAGCTATGATGTGTTCAATAAAAATGTTGGCAGATTTTTGAGCATTATTTCAACTGCACACCACAATAGCAGGATACTCAATGTGTCCGTGTCAAAAATCTCATGTGCTTCCCAGCTATCTTCAAGCATCCAATTATCAGAATGTTTTAAACATTTCCTTTTCATTTTTGTCATCTCTATCTACTTTTATTGCTCCACCACACTTCCAGCAGACTGTTTACTGTAGTTTACAACACTGGGCGCTCTATATGACAGGCAGCTGCGTATTAAAAACACCACTGCCCCGCTGCTAACAGGACACAGGCTGACCTGTGTTTGTGTAAGGAACAGGCCTGCAATTTTGACTCCATGGTTACTGTAACACTAGCCAGGTTTTAATCCGAGGCTTTTAAACAAACCAAGATGCATTGGATTATAACGGCTGAACAGAAATAACACATTTGGATAAGAAATGTCTCCGGTGTCATGTGATGTCTTCTCATGTAAATTGCTGTCGTGCAACAAAAGAATGTGGGAAACTATTTTTGCAATAAATAATGATGTAACATACAGACTTGCCATTTATTTTCATTTTTCCCACAATGGACAACATTCAGTTATAAAACCAAACCATGGGGCTTAGGGACCTGTAATGGTCCATGGGGTGCAAGGGTCCCTTTATCATCACTAATAAATTAGCTTATTTTACATTAAGACGGTGAGAGCAACATGAGGGATATCTGTTTACTTCAAAGGATTTAAAAAAAAAAAAAAAAAACTCTGCTATTATCTCTACACCAACAGTAAAACAGATATACCCCCCCACCCCAGGTCAAGTAGGGTTCTTCAATAAAAGAGATTTGTGATTTCGAGCACTTTTGGTTATTTGATGTTTCTTTTCTATATGTCATGTGGAGTAATAATAATAAGCCCTCATGTTATGCCACAGTATAGCTCCACCCTTCAGCTCCAGTCCTGATTTTCAAGCCTGGTTACCAGTAGTCTAGACATTATAGAAAAAGATCCAGGGTTTGAAGTCCCTGCTCCATGCTCCACCCCTGGTGTTTCTGTTTTCCAGGTCTTTGTCCCCGGAACTTGCACTCATTCCTGGGTGTCCACCAGGGTTTTCTGCTCGCATCTGGATCCCAGTACGACTAGCATACAGTCCGGTGTCCTGTCCAACAGAAACCACGACCTCCTTAAGTTTGGAAAGAAAGCAAGAAAAGAAAAGAAGAAAGGAGAAAAACACCTTCCCGGCAACTTTTCTGTCGTCTACTCTGCCCCCGTGGTTTATCCTGTCGTCGAAGCTGTGAAGCAGTGGTGTGAATCTGAGATTCTTGCCTGCAGTTAAAAAAAAGTTTTTACGTGTTTTAAAATTGTATGTTGCTTCTTTTTGTTTTTTCGATTGAGTCTGGGACTCAACACATATCCAAGCTTTTAAACGGACGACGTTAGCACCGTGCCTTAAGTGTTTTTTTCGGTGTTTTCCCTCTCTCGAAGTTGTTCGGAGGTTTCAGAGGTGGCCTCAGAGCTGCTGTGAATGAAGTATCTGTTGAGCTGAAGAAATCAGCGCGTCTCCATGAGGAAACTCAGCGTGGGAGTCGCTGAAAGTTTGTCCTAGCTTACGCACACCTGAGCGATTATATATTATTTTTTCTTTTGTTTTTTGTGCTGGTAACTTTGTAGTTTTTTTTAACTGCCACACAATGAAGACGCTGTTGGTGCTGTGTTTAGTTTGCACGCTGGTTATGTTGTCGGTGTCCGGGACCGCGGAGCAAAAGTTGAAAAACTGTAATGAAGTTCGTGCTGCTTACAGCTCCAAAGGCTTCAACGTTAACGACGTCCCCAACAAAGGAGTCAACGGTGAGATATTTTTCTATTTTGGCTTTCTGGTCTGTATTTACCTCTGATACTGTAGTCCAGGGCTGTGGTTCTCAAAATCGGGGCTGAGGACCCCCCATGGGTCTTGGAGAGGTCTCCCGGTGGTCCTAAGGCTAATGAAAACTTTTTAAGCTAGCAGAGTTAGCATGAAAAGAGACGTTGGTAAAAGTCAGTTAAATGTGTTCACATAGTTTTGTCTCTTGGCTCCAAGACTACAAATATACAACCTGCTTTTCTGAGTCATAACTACCTTTTTCCACGTGTTTTTTAAGGTAAACTTTTCTCATGTGTGGTAGGTTTAGGGGTCATTGAGAACGTATTGAAGACTACAACAAACCATTAAACTGTCATTTTTTTAAATTGACATTTTGTGCTCCAGTCAACTTCTAAATGGAAACATGGTGAATTGTACAGACATGGTGTTTTTTTCATATGTTAAATACAATGTTAAGTTTGGGGAGAGAGGCAGTGGGGATAAATTCATCAGACCCACTGTGTGTCTGGCAACCATTCACTACTCCAGTGGGTAAATATAGTCTTCATTTAGGAAATACTTGTAGGTAATTCATAACAATAAAGTGGTATAATCAACACATAAGCTCTGCTCCCCACTGAAAGGAGGCAGGCCTGTGTTTATTTCCAGGCTTCCTTAGTAGAGACTCCTATGGCTGTGAAGTGCAGGAAGCCAGCAGTGATTCAGTAAACATTGCTGTGCATTGTGGACAAGGCTCATAATTTTGCATTTTTAACATTTTCCGTGTAGACACACATACTCTTACTTTTGTCTGCAAGACGGGGTGTAACGAAGGCAGCTTGGTAGTAAATAGCAACTGCTTTGTTAACAGCTGCAGAGAGGTGAGAAGGCAAATCAATTCAGCTAATCATGAGTTAAACCCAAGTAATGGAAACTTATGTAGGGGGGCTTTTACAGTGAAGGCTTGAGGGGAGCAGGAAAAGGGGGTTGGGGTTTGAAATTCCACTGTGTCCTGCATACTTTAAATCCCTCCCTTCTCTCATTTCCTTTTCATTTTTATGGTGGTTAAAATGAATATGCACGCATGTATTCAAACCCCTAAATTCAGTCCAGTTTTGCAGTGGCTTCAGAATGACGTCTTTGTTTTTATAGAAGTAGGTCATCCAGGCATGGCTACTGTCATGTTGCTGTCTTGTTTTCCCCTTTTTAAGTCATTTTGGATTTAATATTTGTCAGGCATTTACCACAGATAAAAAAAAGCAATTTCCCTCTTTGTCCATGTATTTTTGCACCCTAAGATTTTCAGGCCTCAATTGTTTCTTTTTTGATGAAATGTTCACAGTGTTATTTTCATTTGACAAGGATGACCAATTTGTATGTGTCCTTTTTATTGTACTGATGTCCTTTTATGAGTTTACTTTGCATAGTAAGAGGATGTTCAGACTGTCCTTTTCTCTTGAGGCCACAACAGCTCATTAGAATTCGAGTTGGGCATAACTGTCAAAGAGGCCAGAACTTATTTTTTCCTGCATTTCACACAAGTCTATAGGTCCTTTTGTTTTCTGTCTGTATGTCTTTGTAATGCTAAATGTCATTGAGAGTACCCCAACATGTCTGCATTGGTCGGATTTAATTGTCTTGCATCTCTGGATTTTGAAAGAGGGATCTGAATGAAGGCAGTTTTATTGTGCAGGTTTGTGTTGTATACACACGTGCCTTTTCCTTACAATAGGTTCCTGGTGTACGTCTGGGCCTTAGGCAGGGCCGACCCCAACGAGCAGCTCTTTGTCATTGATAGAGACTGAGATAATTGATGCAAAGAAAGCAACACGGTCTACTGTCATTTAAGAGTGTTGGGGGTCTCCAGAAAGCAAGAAGCAGATGCAAAAGCCCTTCACTCTTCAAATGTTTCATGTCGCTGGGGAGAAATGGCTCCAGATGTGCAGTCTGATTGAACTTCAGTCATGTTTGTCAGAACTTCACTTCTACACTTTGTAACAGGTCAAACTCCAAACATTAATTCTCTCCTAACCATAACACAGTCTGTGTTTAAATTGAACTGGATGTGAGGTTGTGCAAAGGTTAGACCATTAATTACGTGCATATGTATCTCACAATTTTAGTTTCAACAGTAGAGAATCAAGGCAAAGGCTGATTGAAAAAGGTCATTTTACTCATAACATCTGCACATGAAATAGTCAATATATGATGCAGAAGATGTAGTAAAATAATTTTGCTCCACATAAAATAAGAGTTTCCAAGCCCAGTATTCCTAATATAATGTGCCATTTTTATTTTAACCATAAGTGTGCACACATATATATATATACATATACATATAGCAGAGGAGGCATACTTTAAAAATTATACAGTATCTTTGCCAGTTGTCTCAGACGTAGTTTTTGAAATGTTTACCTCCATTGATACATGCAGCGTAAATCAGATTGGTGGAAGATGAGTCTTATTGGAGACATGAGATTCAAAACTTGCCTTTTATAACCACAAACATCTTGTGTTATTGTTGGCAGCACGGAAATAAGAATGTTTGTTACAAGTCAAATTTCCGACAGGCTCAGCTGAAGCCAGACTTGAGATTCAATAAAGATGTTTTAATGCAGTAAAACTGAAATGGAAACCCTGATTGCCTGAGCATAGACAGAATTAAGTGGTACAGAGGAACAGGAGGCTCAGTTGGTAAATTCCTTGTTGATCCCATGGTATCAATCTTTTACCACTCACGTGGAAGCAGTTCAAGACCTCGTTTCCAAGTTTCTTGTCTGATGATTTGTTGAGGGCATGTGGTTGAATACCTCACTTAAATGGGAAATAAATTATGCGCACAGTCTTAATGATGACAGATAAATAATGTAAGCAATCATACAGAATGTAAATGGTGGTTTTACTGTCTAAAGCTATCTGCTAATAGTAGGTAGTGTTTATTTTTCCTAACAGTATATTTGATATAGTGATAAGTATTAAGTGGTGTCTGCTAAGCGCTGCTGCACAGTTGCAACATGGGCCGGCTCTTCCAGCTCACTCTGAGGGCAGGGCAGTTAACTCTGACCAGATTGGTATCTGCCATGTCAAAGGCTAGGCTTACTCATTGCAGGGCTGGATGCTGCGCTTCCCATTTTGTAGCTCTTCAAGCAAAATCTGTTTTGGTTTACTCTGACAGTCAGGCTTGATGTCATGCTCCAGGTATGGGACAATGGCAGAGATCAAAGAGAAGAGGGTCGTTTTCCCTCCCTTCAGCACAAGGAACATCCCTTGCTCATAATCAGTTCAATGCATTATGACTGAAACTCAAAGCGTGCATGACCTCAGCGCGTTGGCCTCCCGGTAAGCTCGAGACATTCTGCAGTCTCACATTGTGAGGGCTCCTTCCCCCTTAGCCGGTGGCTGCATGCCCTGCATTATTACGGTTAAGGAAATAACAGGTTGTGTTATTGCAGTGACATTGAGCAGATAAGATAAGAGCGGGGAACTGGGGCACACACAGTCAGCGGGAGCTTTTATAGCTCAAAGACCAATATTTGAGTGGCTCTACTTTGTAGGGCTGTAGCCTGGTATTTTAACACCTGTAATAATTAACTAATAAACTACCAGCCAAGTGTCTTACTTGCCTGTCAAGGTCAATCCCATAAAACTGAAACAGCCCTCTTTATTTTATGTGAAGCACTCTAAGTCTTATCATTTACTTCAGTGCTTCCCTTTGTGTCTGATTAATAATTTAAAAAATTGATATAGGATATGATACTCTTTTAAAGACAAAGCAGCTTGCAGAAATGTTAAGACTTTATAATCGATGCATTACTTTTGTGATCTTTCACTTGTACTCTCTGAGGTCAGGAATCCAACATCTAACTGATTATTATTTGATAGTTTTACATCAAAACAACTACTAACACGCAGATAGAAATCATTTCATGTTTCAGCTGGTAGTGAGTCACACATTACCAGTTCATTTTACAGTGATGTATTCCTTATTCCTATCGCTTATAGATATTAGTGAGTCACATGAAGTCTAGATGTTGAGGTCTATCTTTGTAAACAGGCCACATTATGTAAGAGAATCTTTCTAGAAGGCATATTATATACCCTTCGCCATATATGTATGGCGAAGGGTCAAAGAACTGACATTTTGTCTTTGAGGGCTTTTTGTTTTTTTTTTTTTTTTTTTTAAAAGGCAGTGTAGTTTATGTAGAAACGTATCTATTTAACTTTCAGGTCCCAAAATATTAACTGTGTGTTATATCTTTCATAACACGCAATTATGTTACCCATGGTTGCATATTCACTCATGCATTCAAATCTGACTCAAGATGGTAATGTATGAGTAAAGAATTACTCATAGTGCATCAAAATGGCACTTGGGATTAAATTTAGATTTTGTATACATGACTCATTCAAAGCCATTACAGTATAGTAGTAGCAAATTCATCAGACTTGAATCAGTGGTGAAAAGCTGTATTTTTTTTTAGAAAAAGATAAATAAAATTATAAATAGTCATGAGAGTTGCAGTTGTGTTGCTTTAAGTTTAAACAAAACATTCTTAAGTCAACAACATCAACTTGGGAGGAATAAGGTTCACAAAGATTAATGTCAGTGATTGACTTGGAGAGAAATTTGAAAATGTGTGTGGGGTGAGATTAAATAAGCATCCCGCATTAAAGCCAAAGCATGGACAGTAATCTCTGATAACATTCTTGAGCGATGGGATAGACATCTGTAGCTTCTTGGTTTGTAACTTTTCAAGTGCTTCTTTTTACTTGCCTTTTTTGACCTTTTTGAAAACAGATGTTGAAATTAGAATGAAAGTTTTGATGTGTTTTGATATGCCAGTCTTATCCACAGAATCTAAAATAGTAAAATAGAATCATCTCATCTGACCTCAGCTTTTGTTTTGTCTGCATCAGGTTACATGAGGGTGTGAGGGCAGGGCTTCTCAACTCGTCCATAATGTTAAGCGCAGTTTTGTGAATCATCATAGATGTTGACTTTCAAATC